TAAACAGGTGACTTTATTAAGAGAAGACAAGATAGGTATTTACCCCAAACCTTCCACAAAAACAGAGCGCACAAACTTACTCATACAATACTTTGGTTTAAAAAGTATTTATAACACCAATGCTAAACCTGATGTTCAGGTGTAAAATACAAACCACAAAAACACAAGCTTGCATAGATGAACTGATGTACATGTACAAGTGGCATTGAAGGAAGGCGTGGACACTGGACAGTGCCTTATGATGTTAACAAATGGCATCAGCTTCCCTACACACATGAAAGTAACCAGCACCATATTTCTCATTTTACTCAACAAAGTTATGGGCAGGAGTAACTGAGGCTGTACAAAGATGGTTTGGAATAGACTATTCCCCACAGCCTAATTCAGATGGCTGCATACATGACCACCAAACCTCCACCAGTCACCTTAAGGCATTCACACAGTGTCCCTCACAGTTTTACTCAATATCTACATAGGCATGTGGTTTGAGGTGGTCTCTTTCTTCAGACAAGAGATAATAGTCTATTGTGGTTTTGTTCAGCTCCATGATATACGTACTTCACAGCCATTATCCTCCCCTCCCACATTGACTATAAGTTGAACAGCACTTGGGATTCCAGCTCATCTGTTGTATAAGCGTATCTAGTTCACCATTCCTAAAGGGCTCTTGTCAAATGAAGTGTGTAGTGGCTGCAGAGCTTAGCTAAAGAGATTCGCTCTCTAAATTATAAGACAAATGGCAGTATCATCTCAAATTTCCTGAGAAACTTGATTTATGGAACAAACCTGTACTTTCAAATTCAGCACCTTTCAAATGTTTTGCAGCAATTGATTGTTCTTAGGAGATGGCCAGCATTAGAGACTTTTCTTTCAGAATGTCACTTCCCCATTTTACTTTCCAATATTTACATGATTTCATGAAATTAATATCTAGTTACTCATTAAAATTTACATGAAACATATAGCTGTCATGGAGAAAGTACATTTGCCTTTCAGATTACAGCAAGGGCTAAAGCCATAGGCTGTAGGAATTTAGAGAAAATTTCTCAGAAGTGGAAAGTTTCTAATACTCAAAGTTCTTACCAAATTATTAGCTGGAATCAATTTCAGCAACTACAGTTCAAATTTAGTATAGTAAAATACACTCAAAGTATATAATTCATCATTGTATAGTCTCGCAATGCCTACTCTTTACTGTTTGCAGTCCTTGTTGGTTTGTTACTCAAATCCTTCTTCATATTTGAACATCATCAATAAAGACCAGGACAACAAAGTTACATAATTAATTCTGTCCTGATCTAAATTCTGAAATCAGCATACCATGAATAGCAACTTAAAAAGAGAAAAACCACTTTCCGTTTTGCTTAACATGAACAAAGGCATATTAACTCTATGATGAACATGTTAGCAGAAGTGCTTGGATTTATAAGGGAAAGAGAATGGCTTTCAGTGGCAAAGACTTATGTGATTGCTTGCATGATTGTGCTTGTCTGTGACATCAAACACGGGCTCTAAAAGCGGTCCTATCTTCTCTACTATAGCCAAATGTTTTTTGCTTAATTCTTTTAAAAGTAAGAAACTATAAGTCTTCATATCAACATGTCAAATAAGTATCTCCATTTTGTTTGCTTTTTTCCCCTATTTTTGTTAATGGTAAATAAACATTCTAATGCATAAACATAATTGTTAAAATTCTTAAAAAATAATCTTACTGTTGTTACAGAACCCTAGAATCCTTAGAATGAATATCTTTTGCACAATCATCACAAAAAGGAACAGGAAGCTCAATGGTTCAGACAGTGATAACTGTATGTGAATATTCCAGGCAAAGAATTCTCCACTAGTAGAGCTTCTGGCCATGCCTCTGCTCCTCAAGGAACTGAGAAATACATCTGTTAATATTACAAGTCAACCCACATTTAGTGAGAGAAGTTCAAAACTCCAGATGCTGCCGATGCTGATGATGCTTATGCTGATGCTGCTGATGATGTTGGAGGTGCTTCTATGAACTATATGCAAATGGAGAGCTCACAGGAATTCATATACACCAAACACAAGGGCCTCAGTTGGAGTTAAAGTAATTTAAGGCAAAACTGATCTTCACAGACATTGCTGACATAAAGTGCAGGGCTCATCAGAAAAGTAACTCTATCATTAACGATTTCCTAGGTTATTCTTGCTTTCTTGGTGCCTCTACAAGTAAATTTGAGTGTTTCCGATGAGTTACATAGCAGAAGCAACCAAAGCCTCTGAATCTTCCCTTTAATTGTCTTACAAATCATCATGATAAACCCCAACCAAACAAAACAACTTCCACTGGGTATCTGGAGAACACTGCTCCATGCAGTATTAACAGGACTCCAGACAGTAGGGTTCTCTCAGCTTACATTGCCCTACCACAGGGTAGAAAGAACTAAGCATCCTGTCACCATTCAGATACACAGCTATGGCTCTAAAGCACAGATACCAACAGAAGGGAGAGAGATGGGGTCACTTCTCTGCTGTGAGCAGTATATCACACACACACACACACACACACACACACACCACACACTATATATATATATATATATTTTAAAAAAATCTTTTTTTTTTTTTTCCTGAAAGATCAGGTTTTGATTTTCTCAGAGGTTGTTCTAAAAAGCCTGCTACAAGAGCATGACACCGTACAGGCAGTGAAATCAAGACAAGCAATATTTCCTTTCAATGTCAATGCCCCACCTGCCAAACACTCTCCTCCCCAAATAGAAGCCATTTATTCCAAGCTCTATTCTGTCTTTCCTCTGAGTTATTTCTTCATGGGCCTCATCCCTTCATTAGGCTGATGGCCTCAGCCAATCTGAATCAGAAGTTATCTTTTAAAAGTATCAAATAATAGATCTTCATATTTTCCAAAGTGAGTTTTATATAAAGGCAATACTCATGAAAAATCAAGGCTGTAAAATGTTAACCACTTATGTGGTAAACAGAATGAATGCACCATATTATAATAGGCTTTTTTTTTTCAGTTTGGCACAAACAGATTTAGAGAAGTTATGACAGTATTGAAGAGTCCAACGCAACACAAGTTACATATTTTAGAACATGGTTATCTAGATCCTCGTGACCAAGACCACTGTGAAAAGGTTTCTTCTGGTGCACATTTATGCACATATTTCTACCTAATTCAGTTAATTCTCAAAGACCAGAAAACTATAGTTTGGTTGTTGCTGTTTTGGTTTTTAGTTTATTACTATACTGCCATTTGTCCTAAAATCACTTGACCCATAACATTTCAGTGACATGCAAAGTCACTTCCAAAACTTCTTAATACTCTTTGAGAATAAAAGAAGAAATTATTTATTCTCCCAACAAGCAATTATGACTAAGAGTAGCTTGAACCAATAGCTTAAACACTGGAATCAATTTTCTTTCATGTCAGCATATTTAATCTGACTTTTAACTACCCCTCTTTTCTAAGTGAAAGTTTAAAACACTTTAGGAAAGGAAAGGAGAGAGCATTATGTCAGGTGGCCTTGCGATGAGGCTCCTTAACACACTGTGCTCATTCAGTAATTCTGGTGTCATAAGGGCAGGGCCTGCAGAGAAATTCAGAAACAAAACAATTCTCAAGGGCAGAAGAATTAGTCTACAAGTTGACAGCAAAGCATAATACAGTAAGGATCTAATAATTAAACTGCACGTACTTCAACAGCTGGAGGAACACAATGAATGCTTTCATTTTTCTATAAAAATGACAAATTAATGAGCAAAACCCACAGTGAAGAGTAGCAGCCCATTAAGAGCTGCTAGTTGCTCCTATCATTTCAAAGACACATTATTTGAGTGATAGCATAAATTTGAGAACATTAAGAATAATTAAGAACATTTTCCTATCTTCTTAGTTATAAGTAATAATTACTGATACTCTTAAAAAACTGTTCACTTTACAAAAAATAAACAAAATATTTTAAAACTCTACTTTAAAAAAAAATTAAAAAGTAACACATTTTCCAATACTGATGTTGAGCTGACTATCACCTGGGCAGCTCTGCCTTTGGCCATCCACCAAAACAAGTAAGACTCCAACATTCTGGTTAAGTGGCTTGGCATTTTTTAAACTGAAACATGTTCATTTTACAGTAATAAATATGATAAAATGAAGTCCATGAAAAGCAAAAGAAATGGATTTTTAAAGTAAAGTGATCATTTCATGAGATAGAAAAATAAACATTTATAAAACAAAAATATGGCAAAAGATATTGCCTGTTCTGCCTAATTATCAAATAAAAGTGTAACTATACTTTTCCTTTAAGGTTACCATTACAAAATTCCTTTAAATACATGAAGTAAAAATCACAGGGCAGATAAAGAAAGATACAGCATTAGCATAAACCAACAAGACTAAGCTTTGATATGGAAACCATTGTGCAAACTCTGACTTAAGGCTAGGTTTTCCATTTGTCTGAAAGATCTTCCTATTTGTATTCCATGGCCGGCGCTCAGGCCTCCAATTCCCCTCTCCTCCACTCTTCCCAAGTGTCTGCTTGCTCGGTTTGTTTCTTCCAAGATTACTATTTGCCCACAGCTTCACTCTTAGCTGCTTTTTTTCACTCACATTTCTATCATATGCAATTTATGAAACCAAAGATGCAAAATTAGAGATCAAAATCTGTTGGGAACAGCTCCACAGAATCCTCCCATAAGTTAAAAAGCCTAGAAAGACAAGGCAATGGAAGGCAGGCATTCCCTACATTATTTCTCTCAACAACCTATTTTCTTCTTTCCTAAATAAACAGCATATTGAAGTGACAAAAAAAAAAAAAAAAAAAAAAGAGAAAGAAAGAAAGAAAGAAAGAAAGAAAGAAAGAAAGAAAGAAAGAAAATCCATACAATGAAAAGAACAGAAAGTCCAGGTGGGAGAATGTCAACCAGATATAGAAATAGCTTGGCTGCCATTTATATTAATTAAGTGGTATGGGCAAATAAACACTTCTATAAATTAGTAGCCAGACAAAGACTCCAGTTTTGAAGAGGAGTTTAAAGGTCTTTTGGAAAAGAATACAATGGCCATCAACATAGAAGCAGAACTGTATACCTGGATAATAATTCACTTCATCAAATTCAACTTTGTGTTGAATTAGTATAATCATTGCAGGTTCATAAAACATCACTGAGTGGTTGCCAACAAAAACTCCTACATCCTAGGAGCAAAACACTTGATGTACACAGCAATAAGATTGATTGCATCAGCTCTTAAGAAAATCGTTCCATTTCCTTTGGCTCCACATTAAATTAGAAAATCAAAGCTTTGCAAGGCTATTTTTTTTCTTTAATTTTCAATTGATTCTTCAAGAACCTGAGTGAAAGTATCAGACAATTAAGGTTTTTACAAATAAATATTAGCATGTGATGTACTGCCCAAGGACTACTGAGGAAATAGCATCACGATGCTACAGTATGACTCTCAGAGCAACTTTCCTAACAGGTTAGTTACGTGACTATCCAGAGCATCTACTGATCCATGTGTCCAGAGTAACAAAATTCACTGCTCTGGGAATTCCCTCTATATTTTGTTGTTGTGATTTTACTTTCTTTTTTTTTTTTCTTTTTCTTCTTTTTTTTTTTTTTTTTTTTTTTTTTTTTTTTTTTTTGAAGAGGATAAAGACCAAACACTATATCCTTCAAAATATCAAATGAATAAACAACAAAGCAGCTATTTCATATACTTAACTATACTTTCTTGAGTCAAAAATGTTAAGACTTACTTGATAATGTATCTCTGTACACTTCTAATTGCTAAATAAAACCTAGTCCCTAGATGCCAATACCTACCAAGTATCATTTCACCCAGTTAATTACATCCCAGGAAATCTATTCAGAAGCTGTATTTCCCTATACTGCCCAAGTGACCAGAACAACCAAAACATTTGAAGTGAACTGAAATTTTTTATAGGAAAACACTTGAGAGTAACTCCCAGGAATGGCACATAGAAGGAGAACAGCCAACGTGGAATGCATTTTGTATCATTCAGTTAATATGTGCTACAGCAAGTCCATTTTCAAGGCAGGTACTACATTTCTGTTGTTGTTTTGTTTTACTGCTTATTATAGAAACCTGGGGAAAGAAGAAAAAGGAAAAACAATTAAAATACAGGTAATGCGCATTGCAGTCAGGAAAGAATATAAAACTGTCTTTGTAGTTTTAACCTCGTCATGGATTTTTCATTTTTTGATGTTGCAAAAGTGCAGTCAAGTCCTGAGAGTGAAAGTGCACACTCCCATGTGAAGGCCCACACTGCAAAGCTTTCTAACTGTATTTTTCCATTGAAATGTGTGACCGCAGCACCTGGCTAATTTTGCTGTGTAATGGTTTTTCATTTGCAAGTTTTTTATAATAAAGTTTTAATAAATTTTAAAAAAATAAAGTTTTTGAAATTCATTATCTCCCTACCCAAGATTTATCTTCATTTCTAAGCACTCCAAGTGGTTCCTCTTTGCTTCTTTTCTTTTTAAAGCCTGTCTTATAAAATAGCAATGTACAGAATCAATTTGTCATTTTAATAGTTTGCAGCAAATATATGTCAAGAACAGAAAGACATACCCTACCCTAAATGATATACATTCAGCTTGAGAAAAAAACAAACCCACAAGCAACTCATAGCTACATCAGAGATGTTGAAAATATCATTAAAGGAAAAAGAATGATAAAAATATCACCTAAGAAGTCTTCAAATAAGTTCCATCCAATATTAAGACCTAATGCTTGAAACTTGTTCTACAATCATCTTTCATTTACTCTCGCCACCTCCCAAGGTCTCAGTATGTAGTTCATATTTGCCAGGCATCCCAATCTTTCTGCCTCTGCTTCTGGAGTGCTGGGACTACAGGAATATAGCACCATATGCAGCCTTCTTTCATAACTGACAGTTCTGGACTAGTTATTTTACTAGCAATGTTTTGAGTAGTCTGACAAATGTGTTTGTCTGTCTTTGTGCATACGCATACACTGGAAAAACAAATGCATCCAACTATGCTTCCACTGTGAAATTATGAATCTACTATTTCTTTCCCCATTTTCTCTACTGCACCTTTCATTTGTGAGCAGCTATGCAGTGTCTATGTGTACACATTGTAAATCTAATTCCTACTGTCAGGGATGGCTGTATGTCAAGCTTGAATCAAAACTGTCTTAGTTTTCGAAACTGTTCTTTGAAACATATGCATAAACTATCCTTTCTCACTTCTAATAGATATGACTACAGATGGCAGTTGAGGAACCCCTATTCTGACAAGGTCCAAATATCTGAAACTGAAGAACACACAGTATTGGAAACCTTCAGCCTTCATATTTCAGTTGTTAAAACTGAGCAGATAAAGCACTCCAGCAAATCTAATTGGAGGTTGCAATTCCCTCCAATATGTGACAAAAAAAACAATAACTTCTACATAGAGGACAAGGTAAAAATGCAGAAAACATGGCATTTCATTTAAAGTGATTTATTTTTGGCTTTCCAGTGTTTTAATGTCTTCTGAGGAGGATGGTCTATTTCCCACTCCCACTTCCTACTCCAGGATCTCAGCTTTATCAAACAGACACTCCTACCTTTATGTGAGGACTCCGACTTTGAGAAGTGACGAGTGGCACTGTGCTGGTTTGTAAAATAGGTGTGGTCCAGATCCTCAGGGTCCATCACTGTAGGTGGTGGTGGTCTGCAAAGAGTCAGAATTTTTCTATGTGATGTTTACTACAATTCCATCTCTCACTGAGCAACATGGCAAAGCTTTTCTGTAGAATGGGAGCGCCACTGTGTTTCAGAATTCCCAGTTTAGTTTCTGGGCAGCTGCGTGTTCTTGAATAAATCATTTTTATCTTACTGTTCTTGAGGCCTGGCACTCACTAAGCATATTTCCCAGTGTGTGAGGCATTGTGCCATAAAAGCAAATGGGAATGAGGTATGGCCTGCCATTAATATACTTCCTTTTGCCAGATTTTACCAAGGAAAGAAAGAAGAAAATAAATCAATAAAGCTAAGGAAAGAAGAAAATACAGAGCCAGAAAGGGTAGAGGATACTAAGAATGGAAGAACATTGATGAACAACAGGGGTCTTTAGTCATCAGATGGCAAAGTCGACCTTAAAACAAATGGTACTTTCTGTGCAACCCATTTACAAAGAGTTCTGCCAAAGAGAAACAAAATGTTCAAAAGGGAAAATTTTAAATTCTAAACATTTATTAACTTAATTATTTAATATAGAAATTTGTGAATACTTGCTATTTATGAAAATGAAAAGTTAGTTTAATTTTCCAAAGGTATAGTCAAAATTTTGCATTAAATTTTGAACCAGACTTACACACCTTATTACAGGATCTTTTGTATAATCATGAGGTGTAAGTAGGCTGAGGTTTGAAAAGTTGTAATCAGTTTACTATAAAATTGATTGTAATCAATCTATAAGTTACAGCAATTACATTTGAATTTCTCCACTTATCCCTAGCAGAAATCGCTTTCAAAAGAAATGATGACTTGTATGTACAGGGAGAATTCCACATATCTCAATGTGGAACCTACAACATAAATCTGCATGGTATACACTGCTAGATGAGAGGAGTGGCCAATCCAACTGCATACTTGTTAAGCATAGTCAATACTGCTATTAACAGAGTCAGACTCCAGAAACAGTGCTCTGGCTAATGCAGAGCTCCACATATGTTTATCATCAGGAACAGTAGTGCCTGCACATATGACATGTGTGTCTGCATATTTGGAAATGGAAGCAGTAAATCAAATATATACTCTGAGCAGCCCCAAATCAATCAGAACAGTGAAGTATGAGAATCAAGGGCCAGCTAAAATTATCTGTTTTTCCTTGTATCACAAAATTCAAATGTCACTTGAAAATACACTTTTAATTTTATGTTTTTATAATTTTGTCCCTTATATACATAAAAACACTTTAAGCACAGTGAGCATGGAAAAACTTTCATTCAGAATCATTGGCCTACAAATATTGACTGTGTTGTCTGTTTGTTTTCTCAATGTTGACTAATATTCCCAACACCTTAGAAAGTGACATAAGACATGTTAGGAAGAACTGAGGCAGATCAAGTGACCTCAGGACTTAGCTTTACAAGGTCGCTGAAGATGAGAATCAAGACCAAGAAAAGTGTGTATCATTTATCACTGTAGCAGAGATGTCTCCTTAGTTTTTCACAAATCTCACCAAGTTTCCCCAAACCTAAAGACTAAAATACAGGACATCCATGCAGAGACAAGCAATTCACTCTAAGATACTCTTGGTTCTCTCTCTATGTTGCTGTGTTCCTTTTTTTCCCCCCATATATTATGTATTTTATTTTTAGTTGAAATAATTATATCACTTCCACTTCCCATTTATTCCTCCAGCCTGACAAGCCATTCCCCATTCTCAAGTTGATAATCACTTTTTATTTGCTTATATTTGTCACTTATGAATGTAACACATGTATGCAGATATGCACAAATACACACATGTATAAAATACAGCCTGCTGAATCCATTTATGTTGTTTCTGTGTATATGGTTTTAAGCTGACTACTCTGTATTGGACAACCAACTGGGAGAGACTAATTCTTCTCCCAGCAGCCAATAGTTATCTGTGGTTTTTTTGTTTAGAGATAGAAGCCAGAAAAAACATCCCCCTTCCATGTTAATATATCTATTGATACTATTTTTCAGATCTTGTTCATGTAGCCATTTTTAGAAGTGGCCAGTTTACAACAGACTTCCTTAGACTTACTGTTTCCTACATAATTATTATGTTGCAATGGAAAGGATTGCTTCAAAGTTACTGATATTTATGGTTAAGGATGGGAAAACTCTTACTAATAGTTTATTCTGTAGTTCTTGTGTAGAAATTACTCATGAAATTATATTTTTAAATATTAAGATTGCTAATTACTAAGATTTAATTACTAAGATTGCTAAATGTTCTTCATCCACTTTGCCTGCACCCTAGTAGGATAAGTGGCTCCTAGCCTTCTCTCACCCAGTGATTTCACCCATGTCACTTAACTAAGTCATCACAGTGGTCTGAGCTTCTTCACTGATATTCATATGAATATACTGATAAAAGCAGCAACTGGCATTTTCAGTATAAAACCTCAGAGCTGAAGCTTTGCTTTGTTTTTCTTTCCTTAAGCAAACTTTCTTCCCAAGTGATTTAGAATACAACCTCCTCCTGGCTCAGCCTCACTGGGCTGTAAATATGCACAGCAAACCCTCTGAAGTGTATGAAGTGTGCACAAGCACAGCCTCTGGTTCTGAAGTGTACACAAGCACACCCTCCTCTGAAGTTTCTGACTTGGAATTAATCCATACCAATGACTGATCCTTAATTCCACAAGAAAGAGAAAAAAACTTTGAATAACAAAAGAAGTTGGAACATTGACAGTAAAAGTTGTTGTTTGTTTTGTTGTTTGCTGATGCCATTGATAAGTTAAAAATTTCACAGAATGACCATGGAAACCCATGCTATCCTGTCCTTCATACTAACTCTGTCTATGCAAATAGTTACCCAACCTTTCCACTATGATTAAATGTGAAAGAGGAAACAGATACTATGCAAAATGCACACACTCACAAATTTGTTAAGCCTGTGAGGTTTTATACTATGAAATAATGTTTCATAAAGTCCTTCTTCATTTGTATTCTCATATACACAATATTTTAGCAAATAATATTTAGAACAAGTGTTCCTATCAGTACAAAAAAACATGTAAGGATCTATGTCTGTGCCATTCCATAGTAACTCTTAACAGCCATTAAAATATCATTTGATTGTTCACTTTCAATATGCCAAGGATTCTTCAGAGGGCCTATTTATATTCTGTGAGCTTGTTTTCCATTTTAACAAACCTTTAAAAACAGCCATTGCAGAGCGCTGTTTTACCTGCTGTCAAAGATGCTAGTGTTCAAAAGAGGCAAAGGACTTAGAAGGCTGAACAAAACCACCCCTAAAAATGATTTGTACTCATGTTACTAAGTCAAAACCAGCCATTTACCTCCCGAGAACAAACTCTCTTCCTTTGCTTGGATATTGTAGTATGTACAGAACTACAAAAGTACACATTCTATAAATGCTCAGCAAAAGCTGAAGGCCAACAGATTTTACATAGATTATGTTACTATTGTCCTCAGAGCAATATATACCCAGTATCATTTTCTGAAAGGTATTTATCTTTTGAAACCACATAAGCTTAAATGCACATTTTAAAAATAACTTTTATTTGTATGTATGTTGTATGTACATGTGTCAAACTTGTGTTGGTGCACATATGTGTGCTGAGACATATGCACATGTGTGCTTGACAAAAATCTGATAATAATGCCTGATGTCTCTCTCAACAACTTTCTACTTTTTTTTATAGAGGGAGTCTCCCACTGAAACCAGAGCCTGCAGCAACAGCTAGTCTAGCTAACCAGCTTGCACTGAGGATGCCATCTCTGCCTCCCAAGTGCAAGAGTTACCAAGCATGACAATTTTGCATGAATTTTGGGAATCAGAACTCTAGTTCATGATTACAAGGGAAGCCATCTTCAAAGCCCAGTAATTTTAATAACTATTAAGTCAGGATTAAAAGTCAAGGTTTTATTAATTCAGAGTTTTTGAAATATTAGTAGTGTACTTTTTTGTTGTTGTTGTTGTTCTTTCCTTGAGTCCTGGTTTCTTGTATACTGGCTTGAATACAGAATAAGCTGTATAGACAACAGTGACCTTGGCTTTCTGATCTTCTGCCTCCATTTCTCTACTGCTAGGATCAACACACAAGTACCACTACATCCAGTTTATGCAGGGTTCTATCATGCTAGGCAACCCTTCTCCAGACCAGGCTATATCCCCAGCCCCCATCTGTTCATCTAAACTAATTTTAATGTGTACATAAAAATAGAATAGTTAAAAGGTAACATAATTCAATAAAAAAGTATGTTGTCTAACATTCAAAACTGATTAAACATACCCATCCTCTTTTATTATTGCTTTTATTACACTATTTATTGTATTTTATTCTTTGTGACTATGGGTGTTTTTTGCTTGCATGCACATCTGTGAAACACATGTGTGCAGTGTCCTTGGAAGCCAAGAGTGTTGGGTGCATGGGACTGTAGTTACTCATGGTTGTGTGCTGCCGTGTGGATACTAGGGATCAGACCTAGCTCCTCCGAGCCGCCAGTTCTTTTTACCCCTGAGCAATTTCTCCAGCACCATCATTTCTTTTTTTAAGGGTGTATTTATTTTTAGCTTTGTGTATGAGTGTTTGCCAACATGTATTATGTGTATCACTTGCATACTCTGTGTCCATGGAGATCAGAACAGATCAGGCTCCCAGAACCTGAAATTATGATGGTAGTGGACTATCACATGGGTGGCAGGGAACTGAGGCTGGGTCCTCTGTGGGTCATCTCCCCAGCCCCTAGACATTCTTTATATTGAAAGTTTTCACTATACTTTTATCTAGGGACTTGAAATACACATATCACAACTGTTATTTATAATTCTGCTCTTGCTAAACCAAAGCTTCTTGTTCCTATTTAACTACAGATTAATCTCTCCATGAATCAAACTTCCCCTACTCTTCTCCCGTTTCCTCCATGCCATCCTTCCATATTTAATGTTTCTCCTCATATTTTAGTCAAACTTTCTGAAAAGGCAATATAAACTAATAAAGAAAAAAGAACTTGCTGCTCCAGACAGCATTTCCTCAATACTGTGACTGTGTGGAAAGAAAAGCACTGAGCACAGCCAGCTACCTGATCAGTGAAACTCAGTGTGCAACAAGGGAGTTAACTACACACACACACACACACACACACATACACACACACAATCAAAGTATAAAATCTGAGAGTTTAATTTTGAAATTGGTTAATCTCATCTCTCTAACTGAGGGTATGCATTGTTTAAATGCCAAGAAATAGTCTTAACAAAAAATAGAAAAGAATTCTCCTTCTATCCCTTGCATGATTTAAGCAGTCCAATGTAAGATTCGGAACAGGGTTTGAGAATAACCCTGTGACACTCAAAACTACCCAATTGCAAAGTTTTGACTCTCTGCTACAAAGAACAGTTCTCTTTTGAGACAACTGATGTGTGCTCACTAGAGCTAATTCCCTCTCTCTCACTTTCAGGGTCATCTTACCGTGATGGCCTGTCCACCTTGGAACGGTATACTTCTTCACTCTCTCTTGACTTAGAGTGTGATGACTTTGCTTTTGACTGTGGACAGAAAAACAAAACACCAAACAACAGGAAAGGTGAACTTTAGAAAATATGTATTCTTCAACAAGCTTTCCTTTAGCAATTTCAGGCTACATTTAGCTGAATAACAAAACATTTCTATATGCAGTCATTCAAGCCAGTGACACAATGGTCTCATGCAGTCTATTTGGGTAATCAGATTAGTGGGTCACATACTACATGCACGCATACACACACACATACATACACACACACCTGCCCACAATCCTCAAAAGCATGTGTAGATGAGTGAGTCACACACCACATGCTCTTTCTTTCACACACACATACACACACACACTGTGATCCTCACAGGCATGCAAGCCACAATTAGTAACAAACGAGATGCACAGCTGACCAAATCCAGAAGACACAGTTGACAGACTCTGGATTTGAGTTCTTAAGCTCTTTTCTGTATATCTAACTCAGGGTGAAAACTTTCCAACCAGACAATAAAGCAATAAAATGAGAGATGAAAACAGGACTCTGCTTTTAGAGTGAGCTTTGAAAATCCATTTGGTTATGTAAAATACCTGCATAACACACATGACTAACATGTCATGGTTGCTTCAGAAGGAAAACATCATAGAATTGGTACTGCTCAAATTGCAAAACTCATTTTGATCATGTTCAAACCTCACCCTAAAAGCAGAGCCCTGTTTCCATCTCTCATTTTATTGTGATTTAAAAGTGAAGCAAACAGAAGAGACCCACACTACCTTGCACTCAGGGTCATGTTTCCTTTTTTCCAAAGATGACTTTTCACGCTCTTTGGCTTTCTTGTAAGCTTTCTTTTCTTCTGCCATCAAAAGTCGAGCAATTTCCTAAGATATGGGCAATATCATTAGTTACAGATTTGAGATTGTTTCTCAACAATTTAGGGAAATCTCTTTAATATGAACTGACCTCATCCTGGGCAACCTGAGCAGCTCTTACGTCCACATGGGTGGCCTGTGAATAAATCAGAAGCACAAGTAACTGGAATCTGTGTTGTGCATTTAAAATATCCTATATAAAATAAATTGGAATTTGAAATTAGTGCTAGCTGAATTCTGAAGTTGACAGCATATTTTTCACTAGCCAGAATGAAGGGACTTTGCAACTCACTTGACACGATATTTTTAGAGAACTACCAAAACTTATTAATACCGAAATCAGTATATGGATTTCTGTTGCTAATGGTTATCAATATGCACAGCTAAATGTAAAAGCTCTCCTCATCCAATAAGAAACATTCCTATAGACTAAATGAATACCGGAAGCTGCAGATGGTGGCAAACCCTGCAGAGACTGTTTTTTCTATGCACACAAACTCAAAATGGTTTAATTTACAAATCAGTCACAGGAAAAGACAAAAAAAAAAAAAAAAAAAAAACCACAATAATGAAAGATACCACTTTTTAACAACATTGTACGTAACATACTCACTTTTAATTATAGCTAACCAAAATTACAGAAGGTAATCCATGGGTAAATGGGATGATATACTACTCCACTATCTTCATTTCTCAACCCTTAGGAAAAAATCACCAGTTTTTCAACTGATACAACCATGGTGCCAACAATTGCTCTATAATGGTCATGATTCGGCTTGTATATACAGTCCTACTGCTTCACTTGAACCCTGACCTTAAATGGACTCACCAAGAGTTCTTCCTCTTGCAATTTTCGAGCAATTTCGGCATCGTGCCATTCCTGGTCCTTGTGCATCATTCGTGCAGGAGTACTGGCAGACTCTTTTATTCCTCTTGGTTTCATTCCTAAAAAAAAAGTTCAATTCAATGAGGTTAAGTGGGGCTGTTTCCTGAAAAGATGAAAAATATTAGGAAAAAGACATTCTCTCAATATTTAAAATGATGATTGTAAATTATAGATTTCAGTGAGGGGTACATTTAAAATGAATTTTCTCCTGGGCTTGTTAATAATACACACAATTCAAACACTTTAACAAGGTTACTTCCTCAAATTTACCTGATAGAAACATTTCTCATATAGTTTCTTCAACAGCACAAAGTCATGCAAGAAACTAGAATGAAAGCACGTCTTTAAAACAAAAACCGAAAACAAAAACAAAGCCACTGAAAATAAAAAGATTTAAGAGAAAAGTAGGTTCCAGAATCACAGTTTTAATGTGATTTAGACAACAAAGGGAGAGGCTTCCTCTCAGGTTCTGTAGCCTATACATCTTCCTGCAGATCAGACAGGGTCACCTACAAGTGAGGGGAAAACATGCAAAAATGACCCTGCTCACCCTCTGTCAAAAACACTTGCTATAATCTTTCCTACAGCTTTGACCCGTCTGTTATTAACACCACAAATTTTAGGGAAAACATAACATAGAGGAAACATCAGAGAGAACAATCACCTCAGAACTGTGTTCCTCTGTAGAGAAAGGGATGAAGAGAACTGACTGACAATTATGCTTTGTTACTTTGTGATGTTATAGGAATACACAGCCTTTTATAAATTTCAAATAAAGCAAAAGTTAATGTCATTTGAAAATTGTGGATACGTCCCTCTGCATACCTTTATAAGTTAGTTAGTCAATAGCGTGAATATATCGCCCTCAGAAATAATAAAACCTTTTTCAAATTTTTTAAATTTAAATTTGAAACAAGTTTGTTTTACATATCAAAATAAAACCTTTTAATAGAACCCTTAGATCAAGCATCTAGTATAATCATCAGTAAATGGACAACAAAGGGACACAAAATTTATCTGATAAATTCTCTGTACAACTGGTCAGTGACGGGGGATGTCCTTCTGTATGCTGTCAATATATGTTTCTCTTATTGGTAGATGATTAAAGCTATTTCAGCCAATGGACAGGCAGGATGTAGCCAGGTAGGAAGTATAGGCAGGGCTACCAGACTAGGAGAATTCTGGAAAGAGGACTACAGAATGTGAGGAGACAGACAGACACACACACACACAGAGAGAGAGAGAAAGAGAGAGGAAGAGAGAGAGAGAGAGAGAGAGAGAGAGAGAGAGAGAGAGAGAGAGAGGTAGGCCACATAGCTGCCCAGGAAGAAAGTGGCACAGGAAACACCGGTAAGCCAATACTACATGGAGATACATAGATTCACAGAAATGGGTTAATAAGTAAGAGATAACTAGCCAATAAGAAGTCTGAGCCATCGACCAAAAAAATTTACAATTAATATAAGCCTCTGTCTGTTTATTTGGGACAAAACAGCTGCGGGACCAGGCAGGCAGAAATTTCCATCATCAGGTCAGAGCCAGTACACCTACTAGAATCACTTCTAAGCAACTCACTCATGTTAATATACTTTCCCCAACACCACATCCTCCTACTTGAGTGGTCTGGATGAGCTCTTGCCTTGGGCATCTATAGTAAGCTTTTCCAAAGGATTCTTATCTTCAAACAACATGGAAGCATTGGTTCAGTGCATTATGCCATCAAGAGAAGCATATATTAAAATAGCTAGCAAAATACCTGCTTACATTTGATTCACAAGCTGCTAACACACATACATACATGAAAATAAAACTATACTTACAGAATTTGGCTTAGCTTATGAAATCCACTTTTATAAACATTCTACCTAATATTGTGATAAATTTAAAATATAGACTCACACGTGTGCATCGTATAAAAATGTTGAGAAATGTTGTCTTTCTTAACTCATACTTCCCAGGACCTGACTACACATATCACCACAAATCATCTCTAGTGGTACTGAATCCTATGCTGGTCTGGCCTGATTTACAACAGATTTCTGACTGGCTTGGGATGTTCTCAAGAACCAAGCATATGCAATTGGGTAAATAAACTTGTCTGAATTATGATTTGCATGACCATATTTAGAAAAGCAGATTTTAGAAAAAGTAAGTAAACTTAAGTAAGGAGCTTGACACTTGGTAAAGTCAGTGAATGGATAAACTGTTGTACCATAGTCCAATCTTTAGAAAAGAAACAAGTTCAGTGAACAGCTTAAAGTCTCACCGAGGGTGACAGATTATGCCTCACTTTCTACCTAATGAAATGTTATAAGTATCCATCAGCTTTCAAAATAGCCAACATTTTACAGCAGTGGGTTCTTTTATTCTATGCAACAAAATTAACTATGGAAATATCACTTTAAATTCAGAGATATTGTCAGATGAATAGTATTATTAAGCTAACAGAATGATAAAATTCTAACTACTATCAGTTTAAAAGGAATAGAACTCTATTAATAAAAGTCAGAATTTAGCTACTATATCTCTCAGACCCAACTACATAAATGATGACAGTTTATTCAGATCCTTGCACAGCATGGGCATTTGCAACTCTCCTTGTGCAGAAACACTCACAGACTAAGACAATGGATTTCAGGATGGGTAGGATTCCCTCCCCAACTACAATGTTCTCCAACCTGAAGCGGTGAGAAATTGAGTAAGTAATGGATAGTCATCATTATAAAAACAGAGATGTACATTTCGACACCCTAAATGGAATCTGGAAACTGCTCTTAAGATGAACCACATCTCAGCTGTGCCCTTCTTTCTCCAACTCCTTCCTCCTTCCCTCCTTCTTCTTGGGTGGTACAGCCGATGACCATATTAGGCAAGTGCACCCCCCTCTAGTTTTCATACAATTAACCTGTTTCTTATCTTTTTCTGTTAACATCCTACAGTCAGAGAATACACAGACTTTCCAAAAAAAAAAAAAAAAAAAAAAAAAACCACAAATGAACTGTTCTTTTTAAATAAAAATTGACATAGTAAGATAAAAAGGAGTGGAGAACTCACTAGACAGAGTCTTAGCTATGTAGCCGAGGCTGACCTACAAGTCACTATGTAGACTGGGATGTAAACTGGGATGGCTTTCAACTCACAGAGATCCTACTGTTTCTGCTTCCCAAGTGCTGGGAATAGAGGTGTGTGCCTGCAACCAATAAAAACTAAAAATGCTAGCATTGAAGATAAATTTACACTAAGTATGATTTAAAACAAAATGTAACTGGTTTTTGGTATTGTGTATGCACATTTTAAAAGAAGCCATTTGACATTTAGGGCACATCATAATGTATCTGAGTCAGAATTCACAAAAGATAAGTACAAGTATTTAAGGCCCTGGAAGGTGAGATGTTAACCTGTGTAACCAATACGCTGTTACAGATGTAAGCACAGCAAGTCCCGCTGGAAGTCACCATAGTTCAACTATTCTATGGAAAGTCGACCAATTCTCACTTTAATTTAGCAATTCCATTTTCAGCTGATTTCTCAACATATTTTGCAAATGCTTTAGGTCCCACCTAGTGTTGCCGTCCTGCTAGTTTATTCATAAATAACTGAAAAGGAATCTGGCATATACCACATCTTTAAGAATTGCTGTTGTTTTCAACAAAAGCTGAAACTAGTACCTAATTATTATTTTTAAATGTAATCTCCTGATCCTGATCAAGCCAAGAAAGCTCGAAGTCAAATGCCAATAGGAACTGGGAAATAAACAGCCTAAAGCAGGTGATAAGCACTAAATAGTTCCCAATGTAACCATGTTAATGGCTATAGCCACACTGTTCTCTAAACCCCTGTGTTAACAGGGTAAATGTGTACTTACAGCCCCAGGACTGAAGACTAAGTCAAGCTTAGTTTCAGTTCCCCAAAGTTTAAAAACAATGGCACATGAATAAGTGCTCTAGAAGTCAACTGGCCTTTTGAGCACATTCCTATTAGGTTTGCAGAATGCAGAGGTCAGAGAAATCACCAAGTCTCCTCTCTTGCTCCATGGAGTTCCAACATGTTTAACCTAGCCACACTGTAACTTCTGCAAAGGCTACTTAATGAACACCAATAAGCTCTTCTCTATTTTCCCAGGCCTTTGTTCATGTCTTCCTAACATGGTGCATCAAATATGAAAATGCTTATTTTTCCATTTTTAAATACATCCATCTCTGAAGCTTAGATTCTGTCATAAGGCTCAAACAATGTATATAGAATTCAGTACAGCTTGCTAAACTAAAATTTAATTTTTCTTATAACCAAGTCCATTTTTTATTAAGTTTTTATTTTATTTTTACTTTCATTGATTCTTTGTGGATTTCTCATTGCCCATTCCAATCCCAGTTATTGCTCCATCTCTTCACATCTGTCCTCATAACCAGGTCCTTTTAATGTGAGATATGATAAGAAAGCAAGCAGAGTCAGAATAAATTTGCAGCCTAGAAACTAGTTTTGCAGTCACCAGCAACATGTGACTAGAGAACAGCAGGTCCTCGACCCTTCTGTTACAATAACCTCTGCATCTCTGTAAAACTTAGTGAGAATTGACTGAAACCAGAATGATGAAAATCATGTTTATTAAAATTAGAGCTGTTATGACAGCCACAAGGAGAACCTTCCCTCACTATGTACCTGACAACACACAATACCTCTACCGTGTCCCCTGATGGACTACAAGGATAAGCTTCAGAGGTGCCAAAACTTTCAAGTTATTTCTTTACACACTCATTTATTACTTTTTTAATTTTGTGGTTTTTAACTTTATTTTCTGCACATATCTATATGGTATCAAATGTGTACAGTGTTAATGCGTGCATGTATGGACTGCTGCAGTTATCAGGTGTTTTCTTATTCCCTCTCAATTTTATACATTGATGCTAGGTCTCTTGCTGAATTCAGAACTAATTGTTTCTGGTAAGGCTAGCTATCTAGCATGTCCCAGGGATCCACTGTCTGTCTCTCCAGTACTGGAAATATGGGCAGCTGCTCAGGCTGCCTGACTTTTTATATGGTTTCTAGATTAAAACTTAGGCTCTCATACCTGTGTATAAGTGAGCCATCTCCCCAGCCCTTACCCTCCTTGTTTCTTTACAGGAACTGAGAACTTGTACATCTTGGCACTTAGAAGAACTTCAGAGTTAAGAGATGCAATTAAACCATAAAAGATAATTTAAAACAATGATTTTTAAGCTTTAATTATGTATCACTTGTAGATTTAAAATATTCCAAATTGACTCAGAAATGTTCAGTTCTAGAAAATATCCTACCCTAGCTATCTCTGTAAAAATAATCTGAATGTCCATTCTCTGGAAGTACTGTAAAAACACTGCCTCTCTGATATCTCCCTTACAGAGGAGAGAGATGAGGTCTAGATGGTAAAGTACTTCTAGTCCCACTAGCAAATAAACACTTAAGTCAATTACAACCAGATCTTCTAAATAAAACCAACAATCCAAGAAATTTCCATTCAGAATCAGAGTAATTGATTCAAGGCTGTGGCAAACAAAGACTAGATTTGGAAACAGCACCTGCACTTACAACCTGGCCCTGGAAAACTCTCCAACTCAGATATTTCCTTCTTCCCAGAGACCTAAGATCAATCGGATACTGAATACAGTAGCTGGGTCCAAGACTCATTTTAAGGACAGAAGTTCAAGTTGGACAGAGACTAAGGTTGCTTACAATGCTTGTTGAACTGACTGGTTTTACACATAGGATGTCCAGCAAGGTGATCCATTACCTGTGTCACGGTGGTGGTGAAGATCTTCATCCTCTGAGAAGGAAGGAGTCCTGGGCTTACGTCTCCTTTCTCTGTAATCGCCTTGCCCACGGTCCCTCCCACACACAACTTCCTTAGAGGGAAACCCTGTTTTCTGTGAAGACTTGGGTGAAGGTCTGCCATGGTGTCGGGACTGCTTTTCCCAACTTCGAGTTCTAGGGCTATTGTTAGCCTCCCAGTCATCAGATTCCGTGCTCAGAAATACCTCACCACTGATCTTCGGAAGTGGAGGTTTGCAGAGCCTCTCTTGACCAGCCCATTTTCTTTCATGCAAATCACTGGAAGGTTGAGCACCATCCCTCCTTCTGCCTGAGTTAGAAGACAGCAGAGATCTCTCTGATGAACAAGATTCCTCCAGATCTTCCAAGTTTTCCAGTGCATGCTTTGGTTTCTCCTTCTTCTGCTTTATAGTCTTCCCATCATTTTGGAGTCTATAAAACCTTGAGTATCCAGAACCCAATTCCCTGGCCCTCCTTGACCTTGGCTGGTCTTAGTGGAGGTAGAGGGTATAAAAATAAACATTGATAACTTAATGAGAATATAAATCATTACACAGGAAAGTTGGGACTCAATACTAACATATTTTTAGGTGGATAAAATTGCTTTGAAACGTCACAAATTGAGATGAGGAGACGAATACTTACTGGAATGGTCCATGCACACATAGCCAAAAAGGTAAAAAGGTAAGTGAAATGATTTGAATCATGAAGAAATCTGATCATTTAATTGGGAAGAGCTTAGCACCACCATATTTGCCAAGAAGAAAATGATGGACAATAGTCATCAAACCCTACTTTATAACAAAATGGACAGCGTGGTAGTTTAAAAAAAAAAAAAGGTCCTCATGGGAAGTAGCATTATTAGGAAGAGCAGCCTTGTTGGAGGAAATAATGTCACTGTGAGGGCAGGCATTGAGATCTTATATGTTCAAGCCATGCCACATGTCTCAGACTACTTCCTGTTGTTTACAAGTTAAGATATAGAAATCTCAGCTCCATTTTTAGCACCATGTCTCCCCATATGCCTCAATGTTCCACCATGATGATAATGAACTGAACCTCTGAACTGTAAGTGAGCCACTCCAATTAGATATTTTCCTTTATAAGAGTTGTCTTGGTCAGGGTGTCTCTTCATAGCAATAAAAACCCTAAAGCAGACAGCAAACATCAGATTCTACTTTATAAAGCCAATCTGAATCTAGAAGAGGTGCCAACAATTAGAGACTGTAAAGTCTTGTAAAACAGTGATGGTATTTAAAAGGGTGAGATTTCAGTTGTAGATTTTCAAGCATTCTCACTGAAGTGTTTTAATACAATGTTCCTAACTTCTGCTTAGTTCAAAATGATCCACATATCTCTTCCCTACATCTCCACCCTGCCATGTGCTCAAAATAAGCATTCCCAGATGCTTCTGGGACAGCCTAAGTTCTAGTGGAGCAGAATATTAAGGAGTAATTGACTTGTTATATTGAGGTAATTCTGTTTCTCATTTTAGCTGAAGTCTATCAATGAAAAAGCTAAAAAAGGAATGGCACATGGAATGCATAAACAGGTATTATTTTCCAAATATATTTAATAAGTAACCATACTGTTGTCTATATATAAAAAACAGTATAAGTCATAAATACAAACTGCCCAGTTTAAAAAAAAAAATAGAAAAACTACATATAAAGGTGCTTTTATATTGTTTATCAGGCTCAAGGAGAGTATAAAAACAAGAAAGCAAATTAGTAAGCATTTGCAAGACCACAGTAACTATAACATTTCTAAAGTAAAACTACACTTTAGAAATAGCAAAAACAAATTTTTCATTCCATGAAAAAATGCTCAGATAACTAAGCTGTTCCTTGCTATAAGCAGGCATTTACTGAACTCTGAAACAGCTTGCATCAGTAGGCAGAGTTAAGGGGTCTTGGTCACATTGGGCATTTTGACTCTAACCCAAAGAAAAGTATATATGTATGTATGTATATAAAGAAGGAAACGTGCTAAATTCAACACATAAAATAGCTTTCACTCAACAATCTCAGTTTCCTTGTACATTTCCTAAAAGAAAAGGAACTTTCGTTCAAAAGTGGGTCTTTCTTCAATGGATATTTATAAAACAATTTTCTCCATAGCTCAAGAGTCACATTTGTGCTTGACACAAAAGTAAAATGTAACAGTTTCTATGGGAAAAACAAAACAAAAACAAAAAACTGCTCCTTTACCTCTTATTAACTCTGTCTTAACAATAGATAATTGGCTACTGAAAAGAATCAATGTAATACTGACCAGCTATTCAGTGATGACCACATTCAGGGAAGAGGTTTACCAGCATGTTTATACCAGTGTGTTGTTCATGGAGCTGTAAGTGGAGTCCATTATTAAGCTCAGAGAAAACACAAAGGATTTTGTTTGGTGATGTATTTCTGAGACTATGATTTATTTATTTATTTATGTGTTTATTTATTTAGCTCTTCCTAAACAGTTGACAGTATTTTCATTTTCTATAACTTACCTATGATGGCATCTTTAAGTCTAGAGTAGGAGAGACCACAGCAAAGGATTCTGCTTGAGTCTTTCCCAACCCCTTGTGGTTGCAGAAAGAGATTTGAATGTTCTTGAGACCAAGTTATTTGGCAAATACAATTAATGCCTTCACTGTCAATCATGTGTGGTATGTATGGCACACAAACATACTCATATGTATCTACATTTTAAGTGCGTGCCTCCATGTTTGTCATCCAAAGTAAGATTTGTTTAAACAAAATGCAAATGTATATATGTATAGGTGTTTTATATATGTATTATTATAATACTTTTAATTCACCAAAATTACATTATTTGATATTTTCAAAATCTGTATGAGTATTATATTTCTCTAACTTCATTTTACAGATGAGAAAAATGCCTTTGAGTAGTCAGAGTAAACAACTTTGTCAAACTACAAATTGTCCTAAGGGACTGAAGTGATAATACTCAAAGGTTACTTATGCATTAGGAAATAATCGTGAATATGAACACGTTATCAGGCCTTCAAGATAAACATGGATCTACAAAGAAACAGTTAATGCTATTTTTCTATGAACAATCACAAATATTTTAGATAATTTCAAATTTATAATCTACAGATGATTTTTTTAAAAAAATGTATTAAAGCTTAGCACATTATAAGACAAAAGGGCAAGCATATTGATACACTATGATTATTACATAATTAAAGCAAAATCAGATTAAAACAAAAGATAACAGCAGAATACAAGAATTGATCATGTGTGTTGGGAACGAATCCTTACATATAGCATATGACTGCTTTGTAAAGTCCCTATGGAACCCAACTAGAGTGTAAATGACAACAGTATAGTCAACAACACACATCACAAAAGAAGCAGAAAAAATACCAATGTTGTTGGAGTAGCCAACTTTTTCTACTTATTAATATTCTCTTAACACCTTGAAACAAGCATTTATTCCACTCCACTCCCTACAAGTTTTTAAAAGCAGATAAAATAAATATAATTTTAGGTTTTCTGAAGGAAAAAAGAAAAAAACATACAAAGTTTAAATAGTCTCTAACAATAAATGTGCATCAGGATACCAGTAATGTAACCCAAATACACAGGCTTGAATACCAGCTCAAGTTAGTGTGAGTTTTAGTACAAGTACCTAAAATGGACATTTTAGTTGACTCTTCTGCTATCCTAATGTGCTTTAGACTTGGCTTTTTAAATAGAAGAGATGGCTAAAGTGGTATAGAGCACTGGCTGCTTCTCCAGAGGACCAGGGTTTGATTCTCAACACCACATGGTGGCTCACAACCACCTGTAACTCCAGTCCCTGGGGATCTGATGCCCTTTTCTGGCCTCCATGGGCACATGCAGTGCATAGACATATGTGAAGGCAAAACACTCACACATCAAATAAAATTTAAAAATTGAAGTATTTTTATTATAGTGAGTATGCTTCAAGAGAAAATTTAATAATAAACAAAGAAAACCCAGGACCACACAAATTCTGCATTTCTAAGATTTTATTCAACACTAAAGAATAGTAACTCTATACCTTCTGGTTCCTACTATGTAAAACAATAGTGACAACCTTCTTTCTTTATGTAAGATGCAACATACAATTTCAGATGAAAAATGCGTATAAAGATAGCTCTTTAAAAAGAATTGAGTGAATGGAGGAAGACATCACGTTACTCCCCAAACAGGACAGAGAGCTAACTGCTACCCAATTACAGTCATGTTAGTGAAAAAGGGGAAAAAAAAGTGACTGAGCAACAGTATTCTCAAGCTATAATAATCTTGGTGCCTACATACATACCTACTCTGCTCATTAAAGGCAAAGACAAACCTTTCTAGAGAGGCTGACAATTGGTTTTCAAGGCTCTCTAGGATGACTGATGTGACAATGTTCACTGTCTGGGCTCTTCAGTTTTGCTCACTGGTGCCCCTAGTATAGTCTTGAAACTGAACCTCAGTATCAGGAAGACATGAAACTATAATTTTCCTTCATCTGACAAATCTTTGAAAGAACTGAACTTGTTCTGTGTTTGCAAATATTCTGTTCCCAACACACTTAGAGATAATCCCCACCACCAAACCATCACCACCACAATGAAAAGTGACACTGGACACATGGAACTTTAGAAGGGCTTCATCAATTACTCTACATGCTAATCAAACAGCAGGGAAATCATCAAGACCATAGCAGACAGTGAACTTCACAGTTTGGTTGGTACTGCAGGTAATCAGAGAGGAAAGAAAGGCGAAGAATGCTTTTACCCAGTGACTGATGCATGACGCACCTTCCTGACTCAAACAGCACTGCTCAGGCTTCGAGGAAAATGTGAAACCCAGAATTGCACCCATGGTTTGCCACACTCCACTATTCTGTGCTCAGACAGTAACACAGCACTACAATGGCTTCAGCACACAAGACAGCTTAAGTGTTACAAAGCCATATTCAAGTTCTAAGCAAAACATGGCTGTCCTATGAACAAGAAATATAATCATTCATTAAAATGAAATAGGATACAAATTTAAAAATTAAACAGAAGACTGCCACAAGACTAAATGTGCCGGCACAAGACTAAATGCGCCCAGGGTCTGGAATAAAAGCCATGGCCCATAATCCCTCAGCTGTCTTTGTGGACCAACTGAAAAGGGAGTTTTGAGTTTTGTAGCTGAGCTAAGGAAGGGGTAGGTCATGATACAGGATTTGGCTGTTACCTCCATCTTCATGATAGTAGCCATCTCCAAAAGCACGGCCCCCACCAGGTTCTGGAATGTGCTTCTTCCTCTTTTTCTCTTCTTGCAGCTCCTTCTCTTGCAAAAGACGTGCTATGTCCTACAACAGCAAAAAGGAAGTGAAACTACTATTACCAAGGAGGAAAGAAGGCTGAGGCTGGTGAACAGGATTCCTCCTTTCGCTCTCTTCTGAGGTCTAAGGCTCTTCGGCCTTCCATGCTTTTGTCAAACATCACTCAAACGCCAACATGACTGCTCACCAAAAGGGACACACAATCTAGAAAAGCACACTGGGCTTTAGTTTTTCCCTAATTAAAACAAAAAGCTAGCAAATTCTATAAACATAATCAAAGTAGTTTTGTCTAAAACTAATTCCAACATAATTTTTAAAATATGACTTTTGAAGTCTGTCATCCAAATAGATGATTTGGTTTGGCAAGGAAATAGCAAGTTATAAAACTTAATAAGCTGGCTTATAATTTAGATCTAAAAATTGTAAAAAAAAAAAAAAAAAATACATGTGGTGATTCTGAGCTGGCTTTTCATAGGAATATTGCTGTGTTAACAGAAAAAAGAGAAGATAAGCCTCTGCCTGGCATACACAGGCTCTGTTCTGAGCAGCTGCTATGGCTTCTAATTCTCTCCCCAAATATGAATGTCCTGTAATGACAGCAAAAGTACATATAAACAATCCCAGTAACATGCACACAATGCCTCAAATACAACTATAGAGACACCAATGAAGGAATACTGCTTATGCTTCAGAGAATTACAATTGCAGCTCTGCACTGTTAGGTTCCAAACAAGAAATGACATTTCAACAGGCAATATCTAGAACACAGCATGAGCAAGGCTGTTAGGGTTTTAATTGGTACCAGGAATGGCCAAAAGCTTAAGGAATATAAGATGTGAAATACTGAAGCAAAATGGTTGGCTAGAAGATGGTGGGTGGGTCACAGGCACTCCTGAACATCTTCTGGGTCTGTGGTCTGCACTATATGGAAAGATGTAAGGTTACTAATAGCTCTGCTTGGGGTGGTAGTTTTCTGAACATCAAGAGTCTTCCCATGAGAGCCCCTTAGAAGAACACAAAGCCTTTTATGCATGCACACTGTGTGCTTTTCTGGAGAGAAGCTCCATACCCCATCAGGTTGTTCAAGGCTCAGACAACAGGGCAAGAAAGCTCATTGTATACAAGTGATGGTAAGAACATGGGTAACTGGAGATAGCTCTTCATAATGTAGAATGAACACAGTGAAGTGGGGATAAGAAGTATTTTTCTTCTTTCTGGAGTTTTCTAAAGGTGTCCAAATGAACAGGGTAAAAGACTGTAAAAAAGAAATTAAGAAATTGAAATAATCCATTCAAAGGAAGCAGAATTGTTACACACACACACACACACACACAAAAAAAAAAAAAAAAAAAAAAAAAAAAAAGACGTTAGAGCCAGACCTGGTGGTTCAGGCCTTTAATTCCAGCCCTTAGGAGGCAGAGACAGACAGAAAGAACTCTGTGAGTTCTGGGCTAGCCGGTCTATAGAGTGAAATTCAGGACAGCCAGGGTTATTACAAAGAGAAATGCTGCCCCCCTAAATAAAAAAGCAAATAAATAGATATGTGCAAGTTAGATGCTATGTCAGGAAATAAAATTATGGCTGTAACACAGATATTTTTATCAGTTATGAATAAAGATTTTATATCTGACAATATGGATGTCACTGTCCAGTTTCAAACTTTAAATGTCATTAACAAATGGTTTTCAACCACTTATGTTTGTAATGTATTTAAACTCTCGGATTATACAATGCAGACACCTGAGCAGGTACTGCCCAGAGTGAGCAGTAAAGGAGAAGGGTACAATCCTACTTTATGCTTTTCCACTTCGGAAAGTAAAATTACAGTGTACCGACAGAAAAATGTCCTTTTGGTGATTCTGTTCTCAGTCCAGTTCAAATCAGATAGTCTAAAAGTGACATAATGAGATAGACAGACAAATTTCTTAAGGTTCCAGTTAAGCTCAGTATGATAAAAAGTATAAAAGCTATTCAACCTTAAACTCGAGTGTCTCTGACAACAATCATCCAAGTAAAGCTGCCTGCTTTCACGAGGTACCAGTGTGCCAGACAGTTGCCTTGAGATCCTACTAAGTAACACACAAACTATAAAGGGGGGATTGGGTAGCCTGTACCCCCGAAACTATCATGCTATATACATATTCTCCCAAGTTCCTATGCAATTGGTCAGAAAAGCAAAAAGCAGCACAAATGTCCAAGTCACACTATTTCCTATGCATCCCAAATATCATTTCCCTAAATGATGCTGGCTTTACAGTGAGCACAAACCCTGACTCAAAACTGAAGGAAAGAATACAAAAGAGAGTGCTCAGGCCCAATGGCCAGGAAACACTATAAAAGACACTCTGAAATTTTTCATTGCTTTCTTGTACTGAGTTACGTTCTGGTGATAATGCAGTCACAGTTCACCCCTGGAGGAAAAGAACAAGAATCATGACCTCCTTTACTGTACTGGCTGCCCTACCCAGTCAGAATGAGAATACACGTCAGGTACATCAAATGTTTCCTTCTAAGCTCTCAGTGACTCTAGGTGCTTCAGAAGAAACGGCTTTCTAGAGCTGAAGACAAGGACAAGACTGAACGGCTGCCAGTGTACTCAGCTCCATGTACTCAGGTCCTAGGACTCTAAGGGGGTCCTCTTCCTGCTTTCTAACTTCATCGCAGACTGATGCACTCCCAGCCATGACCAAAGTGCTTTCCTCTGAGACCAAAGGCTGCTGATTTTACTCACTGAGCTCGAGGCAGCCATTCAATTGGTCACCTTGCATATGAACAGTCTTCTGAATCCTAGCTCCCTTCCTGTGAACACACATCTTCCAAAACAGAGCACACTATCTCAATAAATTCTCCAAACAAACTCAAAGCACTCAGTTCGAAACATGCACCGTAGTTAACTCTTTAGAATGCACATTCTAAGGATGCACATGCTAAGGATACAACTTAGCAGAAAAGTATTTCAAACATACCCAAGGCTCTGAGTTCAATCAGAATTACTCCCCAAAATAAATCAATTAAATTAAATTCATCTTAACATTTTTTAAAACTGGAGAGAACTCTTTTAAGTTAAAAGGTAACCTAGGAGTTTTCAGTCTTGTTTTAATAAATTAACAAAATTTATGTTTTATGAAACAAAATGGACAACATATCTTAACCGTTTTAAACTCAGGCCCAATCAGCTTTAATTTATCAGACTTATCAGGTAGATTTACTTTGGGCAAATTTGCAGAAATAACCCATTTACAGAGGACCACACAATAAGCATATTAGTTAGAATGTAAGTCTTCTATTATATTTTATCTCTCCCTTTTCTAGTATCTATGATATGTATGAAGGACAGTGTTCCAGACCTCTAGAAAACTAGAAGAAATCAATGAAAATATACATTTGCAGACTCCCTTGAAGGGACCAAATATCATGCTCTGGACAGTAAAGAATCTGGATCCAGGCTAGGATTCTTAATAACATCTATCAAGTGACAAAGGCACAGGAGAATAACGCAGAGAATGGTGGCTCAAGGCTCTAGCACAGCCACTACTGTAGCCCTGGTAGCCCTCAGAGTTTTCCCAGAGTGAACACTATTAATCCAGGACCAAGCACCTAAGGGAAATTCTACACTACATAGGACTATGTCAGGGTTTGTTCTCCCTTAAGGTTTTTGCCTCTGTACCTCAATCAGCATAGTGTTAACAGAAAAAAAAAAAAATTTAACTTAAAAGAGATCTAAAATATAAGATTTAAATGAATGTCAGTAGTGGGAAGAGGACTGCAGGTCTACTTTAGCATTTAACATACGAATACTTAACTTAGAGGGCATCTCAAAGCAGCTATAATACCATGGGTTACCCCAAAAAGCCAGGAAAACTGGAAAAGGCTACAGGTAGAAAAGTAGAAAAGCAGGGTTTTTTCAACTAGAAACCCCCATCCCTCAGCCTTATTGCTATATATGTATACAAGTAGTTTAAAGTTCAAATCACAGAAAAGTGTACCAACAAAATCTATTTAAATATACCTTTATGGAATCTTATTACTCTTTACTCTGATTCCTATGGATTAGCACACATCACACTGGATTTGTTTTGATCATAAATTGGTTACTAAGTTTATCTCTGAGCAATTCATCGTACAGATGGCTTAGACCAGAACCATAATTTTGCATGACAGGGTTAGCTACGCTAGTATTTACATAAGAAAAAAAACTTTCCTAAAATAGTTGCACATAACATGTATCTGCACCAAATTTTAAGTGTACAAAATATGGTGTGCTTCTATATTCACACAACACACACCACAACCACTAAATACACATCCTTTAATTTTACTTTAAAAACACTGTGACCAAAGTGATACACACAGAACTGGAACCAACCCACATATGAATCTCAAACCCCACCATTGCAGTACAGCCTATTAGACACCTAAATAAAATTCAACTAGTGTGGTTAAGATGTGACCTTAAAGAGTTTTGTTTGTTTCCAAACAGAAAAGGAAAATATATGAGGACTGTGGGGAGAAGAGTGAAGGGGGAGGAGGAAGATATATAGGGATGGAGGAAGGGAAAGATGGAGGAGATAGGTGAAATGGAGACTAGAAGAGGTTCACAATGCTATCCAGCAAACTCCCTACCCTCTTTTCTCCATCTGTCTCCTAGCACAGTGGCTACTTTGCTTATATCTGCCCTGCTAACACATGCCATAACTATAATAAACACGATGATAGATAATAGCTGAATATATTCATTCGCATATACAAAACTGCATACTTCTATTATGTCTCATGAACAATACTGTTTAGAAAAATACCTATGATCTTTATTACTTTTTGAGGAGGGCAAACTGCTCATCAGAGTGGACATATCTCTAAAGATTTCTAAAGATCTAGGTAAAAATACAAAGAGGATGTTCTACAGGCACACTACTGAAAAACTAACCAAGCAGACTCACAGACTCCACAGGAAGAACAAAGGGAAGTGGCAGACAGAGGGAAATAAAACAGGATGGTTTATGAGTAACAGGAAATGTTTTGCCAGA